CCCGCAAAAGAAGAAGCGAGTGAAGATAACGGATGCCCAATTATGATTTGAAACATTGTATATATATTTTTAATCTTTTCCTGCAGCTTCCTTGTTGTCTTCCTTGTAGAATCATTACATCTACAATTTAAATATAATTATAATTTTGTATTTTTTGCTTTCATTTATATTTATATTTATATTTTGTAATTTATTTAATATATTTAATAGGTGACACAGTGGTACAGTTAGTAGAGCTGCCTCCGCTCAACGAGAAGATCGCCAGATCAAATCCTGGCCGAAGGGCAGGTGCATTCTGGGTGGAGTTTGCATGTTCGCTCTGTGCATGCTGGTTTTCTCCGGGTACTCCGTTTTCCTCCCACAGACCAAAAACATGCATGTTAGGCTGATTGGTAACTCTAAATTGTCCCTAGGTGTGAGTGAGAGAGTGAATGGTTGTTTGTCTCTATGTGTCCCTGTGATGGACTGGAGACCTGTCCAGGGTGTCCCCCGCCTCTAGTGATAGCTGGACATGGGCACCAGTGACCTCCGCAACCCAAATAGGAAGAAGCAGATGATGGATGGATGGATGGATGGATGGATGGATGGATGGATGGATGGATGGATGGATGGATGTGTATACTTAAATAGAGGTCTGTCCACCTTATGCTGGTGTGTGGTTAAAATAATAAATGCGGACCAACCTCGATTAAAATAATGGATTCTTGTCACGCCATAATCCCCCTCACTTGAATTAAACACACAAAACCCGGTTGGTTAAAATCACAATGTATGTAACGTTTATTGAACGTTTGAATAATAACAACAATATGAAATAATAGCAAAAGTGTTGAATGTGGATGAGCACAACCAGAAGTATTATTTCAGAAGGTGAACGGTGTAAAATAGATTAAACTTTGAGGAGATGTTATCTAAATTTAGAACTAATGCTTAAAATCAAGGAAAGTTTCTCTGAGGTTCACGAACTAACTTAAAGCGTCTAAAAGAACCGGATGTCACTGTGAGTCATTCTTCTTCAGAAGGAAGATGGCTTTTTTCCTACCAGGAGCTGTAGATCCCATTACCAGGTGGACAGGAGGTGGACAGGAGGTGGAAAGGAGGCCGGTGTTTGTCCTCCCAGGAATTGATGATTCTCTCCAGGACTACGTTTCATCCGGCCAGACAGCACTGTCGTTCCAGGGTGTTTGAGAGTGTTTCATGTGGACTTCTCCACATCTCAGCAAACTCGGCTCCATCCAAGATGGAAGATCACACTGGTTCCTTCAGGCTGGCCCGAAGAAGACTTGAAGATGACTACTTTCCCCACCTTGAGTTTCAGCTTTACCTGATTCTAGAAAGGGGCGTGCCTATGCAAATTGTGTCCAATCAACGCAACTCTGCCAACAAAATAGGCGTTAACCAGGTTGCATCAATTAATCTTGAAGAGATAAAGCACCTCCCTCCCAAAGTTTTGAGAGAACAAAGACTTTGCTTTCTTCAAAGTAATAAACTTTAAATCTTAAATTTAAAACACTTTCTTCAGGGATGTAACATTTGCTCATTTCAAAATCAACACAAACTTTGTAACAACTTAGTAGATGTTTTGTTTTCAAGCAGAGAAAAGAGAAATACTGAAACTGTTTTAAAAACGAAGCAGTTTTAACTATTTAGCTAATAAGAAAACAGTTTGTTTAACCTTTTAACAAATAACAGAAATTAAGAAAACAAGTGTTTTCCTGTAACATTTGGCTTCATTGACCGTAAGATTTGATTAGTGATCAGTTTTCACACAGTACTGTTAAGACCATTGTTTTTCAGAGGCTTTGTTTGAATTACCATACCATCCTGTAACCAGAGTGTTGCCATGGAAACCAACACCTCTTGTGTCCTGGGGTATGACAAAGTTCTGTCCTTCGTTGAATGTAGAATACAGAGGAGTCTGATGGTCTGCCACAGTTCCATGGTTCTTTGAATGGAGATTGTGAGGTGTCATCTTGTCTAGATTCTCAGGAAGGGAAGACGATTAGGAAAAGGAGGTTTAATTATCACACAGTCAGGTCCCTTGCTTGGATCAGAATGCTGATTCATCCTGAGAGTAGAACATGATGGATGGATGGATGGATGGATTTCATTGGATAGCCACATGTCACACAGAGTGTGTGACTCCCCTGATGTGATGAACCTGTTGGACTCTTAGGTGTTTCCTTTTAAATGCAGCTTTTACTTTGGTGGCAGTTGTGGAGCCTTCTATTGTCTCGTCATCAAGCCTGTTGTCTTTTTCAAAGAAGCTCTCAAATGATGTTTGTTTGTTGCTCATTTTTTTGCTAAAGTTAGTTAGAGACCTCACAAGTGCATGAAAAAAAACTGCAACAAAATCAAGTAAGCATGCTATAAAATTGTGGAAGTGATTAGTTTTCAAAATAAAATGCCATGCAGACTAACAGAAACAGAATTTTTTTTTTTAAATAAAGCCTTTTGTTCTTTCTATGCGGCCTGGTACTAAATGATTCGCGCCCGGTTGTGGTCCGTGGTCTGATGATTGGGGACCCCTTATTTAGACTAAAGTTGGACTTGAGTGCTGCTTTGAACACTGCAGATCCTTAAATTTCAACATGAGCAGTCTGTAGGTATTAAAGATTATTTTAGTGGTTCAAATCATATTTGACTGACAGAAGCTTTTCAAAGATTAGTATTCTTCAGCGGCAGCTCCACTTTCATGTTGGGTTCCACAAGGTTCCATTCTAGGCCCTACTCCATTTTTATTGTACATGCTGCCATTGGGATTCATTAAAAAAAGATTAATATTCTTTTTCACTGTTTTGTAAATGGCCTTCAGATTCACTTGCCTATGAATATATAAACCATAAGAAAAAAACTTTATTGGATTGTCTGTATGAAATAAAGACATGGTTGAACTCAAACTTCCTTTGTTTTTAATGTAAACACAACAGCCGCCATCTTTTTCAGTTGAAATATTGCGTTATTAACCCTGCCAATATACTTGGGCCTCATTTGTTCCTCTGTCAAAAAAAAAACGGTGCAATTTTTGGCAGTTTCTTTCAAATTGGAGAAACACATCAGCTGTTTCTCTTTGTCATAGTGAACCACTGCTTCTGTTTCAAAGATTTAGAATAAGGAATTCATGTGTTCCCATGGAAGATCTGTTCAAACTTTGGAAAACTTTAAAGACTCACTGGCATATGAGTCAAGAAGAGCTTGACTGTTAAATGCACCTTTACAATGTTCTATTGTTGTAACACTTTGTTTTTCTTTCTTTCTATCTTTTAAGAATATTTTATGTTCTTTAGTAAATAATTTGACATTTATGTTGTATTTCTATACCAGGGTGACTTAGTCTGGATGATTGTGCAATGTTTCGTCTCACCCTAAACTTTACTTTTAGTTTAGGACAAGTGTCATGTGTGTTTTTTTTAGCCAAGTGTGTGAGGGTGAACCAAAAGCAAAAGTTTTCCGGTGTCTCTATCAGATGCCCTTAAACTTATTTAGGGTTACGTTTCATGTCACTTGATTGTTTAAGTTTAAAAATAAGTTGATTTAAGCCAATGTCACAAAACAAGACAGACTGGTGGACGGTTTGGTATTCAGACCTGAACACACAGAAAAACAAAACTGACAAAGAAACGTCAGTTCATTGAAACTTGTTGAGTAGTAAAACGATTTTACATGAAACTGGAGGCGTAAAGTAAGTGAACATTTGTGGGTTAAAACTGCAGTCAACCACAAATGACGAACAAAAGCCTACAGAGGAGGAAGTGTTTTGTTGAGATGGGCATAAAAATGAAATCACGTCTATCTTTCCACCAAGACCAACTGCATGGAACTTAAATTTATCACAATGTTAAGTCTTTTCAGTTAAGAATACGTAATTTTTTCTGCAAAACGTCCGCTCCTAACCTACTGTTTCTTATTTTACACCTGCTTAGCTGAGTTTTGATAAGGGCAGGATTCAAAAGCAAAAAATGTTTTGTGGTACTAGTTTCAATTTGGACATAGTGAGTATTAAGGAAAAAACTCTTTAATTGACTTTAAGAAATGTGGAATTACAAAATCAAAGTTGACTTAAATAAACTAACATTACCAATTAAAAATAGCATAATTTATTAGCAGTGCACATATGAAGTTAGTTTATTGAAGGTAATTTTTTTAGCTGCTTATTTTTATTTTACTGATGTATTTATTGAACTTACAGAAACAGTAATCCACCTGAGACAATAAAAGATGCCAATGTTCATTTTAGTCATTTGATCACTCAGTCACCCTGTGTTCACTGAACCATCATTTGGGATGGACTTCTTATGGTTTTTTGTTTTTTTTGGAAAATTACTTAAATCCGTTCATCGGTTTCTGGTAGATATTAGGTCATGTTCAGGTCAAGTGGCTATCTGAGCAATCTATAGGTTGTCAGATAGGACTGACACAGAGACACAAGACATGAACACAATGACTCATATTACATCATGTTAGACCTATCATCGAAGTGTCAGAACATTTGGTGGTGGGGGATTTGTAGTTGTGGTTTGCATTTGTGTTACATGCACAAGGAGAACATGATCACGTTGCACGAAAAGAAAATGTAGTAACTGGCTGTTGAACAAATTTAAAGTCCTGGGCCTTGATGTGAACAAATGTGCTAAAATAAATAAAAAAGACATTTCATATATATATATATATATATATATATATTTTTTTTTTTTTACAAGTTGATTTTGATTTTATTATTTAAATCTGCTTTGTTTCACTTCCTGAGCTTTCAAGAACATGCAAAGTTAAAATCCACGAGAAAAGTTGTCATCATTCAAAGTTTCACGCTCCTATTTCAAAGAAAGAACCATGTTGTTTAAAAATGTTTTTAAACTTTATTACATTGACAGAACAATTACACAGACTATTTGATTGAATGCATTTTATTCCATAACATACATTTTTAGAAAAATGTACAAATACAGATTTTTTTTTTTTTTTTTTACAGTAACTGCAGATAAATGGTCGTGCTAAATTTTCTGGTGCTTTGGATTTTTTCCAACAAGAAGTATGTGTTGTCATTCAGCTGCGATGAATCTGTGGATCAAGAAAAAATGCACGTAACAAGGGCTGTGCGATCTGCTCTGAATTATATTTATTGTCGACATGTTTAAAGTATCATCTGCTTTTTCAAAATGATGATTCATAGCATCATAGAAATGTCAATTGTGATGTGAATACAGTAATACCAATACTATTTGTTCAATCGAGCATGCCAAAACTGCATATACTTGAATTTATGATAACCGGTTTCCTGTTTCTGGAATTGTCTGGTTCCTGGTTTATCAACACAAAGAAGATGGCCGCAGTTAATCTGGCCTGATCAGGCTGCCGCCTATGTGAAAGTTTGCTCCGTGTCTCGTGCGCCCAGACTCTATTGCTTAGCGGACTGGATCGCAAATTGGATGTGATTTTTGAGAATCGCAGGCCATATGCGGCACCTAGGACTCGCTGGCAGGATGGATCAAACCTCGGGGAATATTCTCAGGCACGGATCAGTGGTGTGTCTACTTAATTTGGACCTTTCGGAATCTACGCAAGACCAGCAACGACTCAAGGCAGATAAAAATTAAAGTTCTGCCTGACTTCAAAAACAAACGCTGTTTATCTGAATTTGGCTCCCTTGGCTGGCCTTGCAGGCCACCTTATCTCAATTTGCCTGGAGGACATGTAATATAATGCTCTGCTCCTCTCTCTCCCATTGATAAAGTCAATTGATCAACTTGAGGAAACCAGCTGAATAAACATTCTATCATCATTTCAGGACTCTTGGATTCTTTCTGGCGTTGTCCTTGGCCATTCCCTGACATCCCTCGACAATGTTTACGGATCTCACAGAAGAGAAGTGGCTGGTTAATCCATCCTTATCAGAACTCCTACAGTGCCCCCGAGAGCATCCTTAGACATCCCCCCCCCCCCGGAATATCTATGTCACCATGTGCTTGTATGTGCGAGGTGTTTTTCATTATCGGGGTATTTCTTCTCAGCCAAGAGAAAGAGTTTGATAGGATTTTTTTTGCCTCCAATTCCTACGTGTCCAGTTTCACTATTTTTTTTTTAATCTGTCTAAACAGATCTCACTTGTAAATGAGTCTTCGAGGCTCAATGTGACTTATATGTCTAAATAAAGGTTGAATTGAATTGGATTATGTCATATATGTTTTTACTGATAAACACTGGAGTTCATTTAAGACACTTTCAAACTAAACAAAAGGTTAAAAATTAAATCTAGTTTAGTTATTTCCAGGACAGGTCCTGTCAACAGCTAAGGGGTTCTCTGTCAGGGGGGGAAAGAACAAACAGGAGTCTGCTCACACAGACTCATGTTCGTGCTGCTGTTGTTCAACCTATTGTTGTTGTACTATTAGTGTTTAGCGTATTCTTAGTTTAGCGTATTGTTTAGTTCATATCTTAGAGCTTATTAGTGTTTTTCTTTACAATTTATACTTATGTTGGATGTAACTGGGACACTGTGTACACAATTTTGTTCTACCACATGTACCACATATGATGTGAATGACAATAAAGAAACCTTGACCTTGACAAAAGCTGAATAAATGCTGGTATTTATTAGCTGGTGTGAGCTTAAATATTAATTAATACCCAGGAGTTTTAGGTTTTATCTCTGTTTCATGGCAGGTTAATTATGGTGAAAGACATTGAACCAAACCTGGTTGATCCACTTTTTTTTTTTTTTTACCTGCACCAATTATTCTTAAGCAGATTACATTTTCTCACAGTTGTGGGTTGTTTGTAATTCTTATCTGACCAAAAACAATTATTGATTTGTTTCATTTGTAATGAGCTTAGTCCAGATTTAACAATTCAAAGCAAAACAAGAATATAATAGTGATTTTACAATTTTAGTTTTTGTTTAGTGTTTTTAACCAATTATAATTGAAATATGTTATTCTGTGTCATAAATTGTTGGTATAGTAGGCTAAAACTGCAGCAATTTGAATTTCAAACTTCGAATATATGGTAAATTGTTGTATAGAAGATAACTTATAAAATATGGTGACAATAATGACTGCAGTTAGGTCTATGAGACATTTTACTTGACCTTTTATTTAATCAGGCAAATAATGTTTTCAATGTCTTTTGTGAGGGTGGTATGTGCCTGAAGGTATGCATGTTTTTTTTTACTGTGGGAGAAAACCAGCGTACCCAGAGAAAACATGCAAATGAGAGGAGAACGTGTAAACGCCACACAGAAAGAACAAGTTCCAAACCAGGGATCGAACCCAGGACCTTTTTGCTGTGAGGCAACAGTGCTAACCACTGATCCGCCGTATTGCCATAGCATATAAACCAAAATAAGTAACTAATATCTACAGGTAACAGAATATTTGACACAAATGTTTCAACAATAAATAATTTAAACATTAAAACAAACCATTTATATTGGTGGGTAATGTGCAAATGCAATGAACAACCATAAAAAGTGAAGAGTTACCAGTTCGTTTTTACTCTGTGGTAAATCAGGTATGATCGAGTAGACGGGGTCATCCAGGTTTGTGCCATCTAACAAAACATCACAAGTTAATTTTCATTCCATTGATGTTATTTGTTTTTATTAATTTGGATTTAATATCCATTCAAGTTTTGAAACTCGTTTTGAAGAGTGTCAGATTTACTGAGTTTAAATAAATAGGAAAGACAAAGAGTTATTTCTGAGAAAGACCTTATTATAATCAATGGATTAGAGTTGACAGCAAAATTTTAAGTCAAAGTACCAACAATCTGGACAAAACCTTAAAGAAAAATACTTAAATTTGGAAATCCTTACTAAACTGACTAAATCATAAGGATCTCTGTGAACTTTTCATCATTGGTTTGGCCTTGCATCGGACTCTGTCACACTTCTGAGAGTTTTACTCTTAAAACAAAAAAAATAAATAAATAAATAATCTCATTATCAACTAGTTTAAAAACTTTAACATAAAATTATGCAGCATGATCCTGTAACCATGCAATGGCCAACAAAAACATGAAGTTAATTTAAAGTGTACAGGGATAAAAAATGTAAATGAATAATACACATAATAATTAAAAGCACCGAGTTATTTTTGGCAAACGCTGATTAAAGTCAGATTGTTCGATCGGTCTAGTTCTCCAACATGAAGCAACGACTGCTTACCTGGAATAGTGACCAGAGCGTAAAGTTCTGTTAATCCTGTAGAATATTGTACACCTGCCAAAATAAAAGTCAGAAAAATGTATTAAAACTATTACAAAGAAAATATCTCAATAAAAATGACTACTTTCACATGTATCAGAAGCAGATGATCAGATTTATTAGCAACTGTGGATGAAATGGGTTTTATGAGCGCTTGCAAAAAAGAACATTTAAAATGAACTACTGAATTGTACGTTCTCTCACGTGTTTTGTAATTTGCAGTGGTTGAACGTTTGAGTTACCACTTCCTGTGGAGAAGCTGCTGGAGTTGTCCTGACATCACTGGACAGATCACGGGTGTACCATGTGTTGTCGTGAGTTTTATGTCTTTGAAAGGTACGTTTTGATTTCATGGACATTTTTCTTTCATAGCGTTTAGCTTTTTAGCACAACTTTAAACAGTTTTGTTTAGTTGCAAACTTTTTTTTGTAATTCAGTCTATTTCATATTTTTTTTCTCACTCATCTTCCTCCTGTTTTGTTTTTGTTATGGATCTGGTCAGGTGAACTTTCAACGAAATTGATACTTTTTTCCCAAGCAAGTGACAGGGCCCTGGAGAACCCTCATGCCCCGCTGAGACACATGCAGCAGGATACATCATGGATAAGTTGATGCACCTTTCTGTATTGTCTCAGGAGGATGCCGAAGATTTATGTCATTGGATTTATGATGGCAGGGTTTCTGCTTTTTGGCACCATCTGATACCTGTTATCAGCTACTAAAGAAGATAGTGGCAGCAGTTCTGGCCGTAGCAAGCTGACAACCTATCTGAAGGTTTGGTTAGTGCTTCGAGCACTCAAACTCAGCTCATTTAAGAGCTCAACTGTAAGATGGAAGCGATTTATGAGAACTATAGGCCACTTGCGGCTTCTGGGACTCGCCAGCATGTTGGGGATGACCTTGGAGGGAGCTAAGAAGAACAGACCAGTGGAATGTCCACCAATCTGACCATTTTGGATCATCAAGAGTACCAGCAGAACTAAAGGCTGACGACAAAAAACAGCCTGACTGGAAAAATTAACAATTGTGGCTTATCTGAATCCGACTCCCCCGTTTGACCTCGAAACACGCCAACTTATCAAATTTCTCCTGGGATGTGTGTAAACTAAGAAAGCTCTGCCTATCGCTCATGCAACCCCTCCCCAACCCAAGAACTTCTGTGAAGCTGCTTATCAGAGCTGTACTGGCTGACACCAACATCTTAACAGGACTATGGTGCTATCTGGAAGAGATCATGGACAAATCTCACCATCTTGTTGTCAAATGCATATGTGATATGTTTATAAATGTGCCTGCTAGAGTTTTTGATGTCGTAAATCTTGTCGCGAAGAGATATTTTTTTGTAAAACCACTATCCTTTCCTCATGGTGTTTCCCCTTTTTCCAACAAAAGAATAAGGGGCTGCGCTCTTAGGAGCAGCAGCAACGTGCACTCCATCTTTCGGACGACTGTATGAACATAATCTCACTGTACTTTGGTGCAATGATAATAAAGCTTATTCTGGTTCTTATTCTGATTCTGATTTGTTCCTCCCCAAAATTGAATCCTAAAGGTCTGATCAGTCACTGTATAAGCTTCCCTACTGCCAGTTGCTGCTTGAGTTTCTTATGTTGGTTTATGATTTTAAAGTTTGCTGAAATCATTTATGTGCTTCAAAACTACAATATTTGATTTTTATGAAAAAAATTGAACTTTTTTTTTTGCACGAGTGAAAAAAGCCTTTGTAGCCCAGTTGAGAATACATATATAAAAAATAAAGTAATTCCTTATGATTCTTTTCTCACCCTTTGTAGGCTGAAGTTCTTTATTATCCTGTATCTCATCGTAGACATGGCACTGACCTTTCCCACCTACAAAAACAACAGTAACTGTCACAAAAAAACCTCTTTTCTGTTTCAAGATCTGAGACAAAACTGCATAGCTACTGTTCTGTTACTTGTTTAAAATTAAACTTTGATTAACTTGTATAAAACAAAAACACAACACAAATTAGTCATCAAGATTTCTGTTTGAAACAAAAAAAAAAAGGAGAGATGTTATCATATTTACTGTAATTTACAGAACTTTAATGTTTGATTTTAATTACCTTGTTTTCTTAATCTGTATCTCCAGATGAAGAAAATACTGGTCATGAGGATTAAGACACCAATCCCTGCTGCCAGACCAATGTACCAAAGCTTTGCTAGAAGAAACAACATTAACACAAAGGGCTCTTATTAACACACGAAACAAACATTGCTCTCTAAACATCCATCCATCCATTATCTTTACCCGCTTATTCCATTTTGGGTCACGGGGGTTGCTGGTGCCCATGTCCAGCAATCACTGTGCGAGGGGCGGGGTACACCCTGGACGGGTCTCCAGTCCATCACAGGGACACATAGAGACAAACGAGACAAACAACCATTCACTCTCTCACTCACACCTAGGGACAATTTAGAGTTACCAATCAGCCTAACATGCATGTTTTTGGTCTGTGGGAGGAAACCGGAGCACCCGGAGAAAACCCACGCATGCACGAAGAGAACATGCAAACTCCACCCAGAAAGGCCCCTGGACCGGGGTTTGAACCTGGGACCTGCTCACTGAGAGGCAGCAGCTCTACCAGTTGTGCCACCGTGCTGCCCGCTCTCTAAACTTCACTGACTTTAACATTTAGAGTATAAAACCCGCTGGGTTGGTTAGTTGCCATTCACATATAATTTCCACATATTTTATTGTTGACATCAATATATTTGTTACCAATTCCAGGAGGCGTTCCAGATGTTTTTGTCGTTGTTGATGTTGAAATTATTATCTTGGCTGTGGTTATCTTTGCTGGTGCTGTACTTTGTGTTTCTGTATATAAAGGAAAAGCCTTATTAAATTACAAATATCAGCTTTAAGACTTGTTTGATTTACAGGTATTACTGATATATTCTCGGATAGATATTATATATTCTATGGTGAGCATGCAAAGATAAAATGTTACACTATTCTTAGTGTCTATCCTTAGAGTTGATAGTAGACGTGATGAAGGAGAGGAGACCTCATCAACCTTTGTTTATCCGAGAGCTTGAGGTAGAGAGGGTGAGAAGCTTTAAATGTTTGGGCGTCCACCTCAGTGACCGGTTAAGAAGCCTCAACAGCAGATTTACTTGGATGGAGGCTGAGGAAGTTTGGCATGCCACCTAAGATCCTCAGCAACTTTTACAGCTGTGTGGTTGTCTTAACCATGATTAGGGCCTGTTTTGCTGCATCTGGACCAGGACGACTTGCCGTCATTGATGGAACAACGAATTCTGCATTATATCAGATAATTCTAAAGGAAAATGTCAGGCCATCTGTCCATGAACTGCTTCTCAAGAGAAGGTGGGTCATGCAGCAAGACAATGACCTTAAGCACACAAGTGGTTCTACTAGAGAATGTTCAAGAAGAATGAAGTTCATGTTTTGGAATGGCCAAGTCAAAGTCCTGACCTTAATCCAATCCAGATGTTGTGGAAGGACCTGAAGCAGCAGTTAGTGTGAGGAAACCACCAACATCCAGAGGTGAAGCTGTTCTGTACAGAGGAATGGGCTAAAATTCCTCCAAGGTGTGCAAGTAAGATCGACAGTTGTGTGTTTAGTTGCATTGCACAGGGGTGGGGTCACACCAGGCACTGAAAGCAAAGGTTCACATACTTTTGCCACTCACTATTACAGTATCTAATATTGGATCATTTCCCTCAATAAATAAATGACCAAGCTAATATGTTTGTCTCATTTGTCTAACTGGGTTCTCTTTATCTACTTTTAGGACTTGTGTGAAAATCTGATGAGGTTTTAGGTCATATTTCTGCAGAAATATAAACAATTCCAAAGGCTTCACAATCTTTCAAGCACCACTGTAACAATCATTAGTTTCAAGGCTTCTAAATTCATTGAGCCTAATATTCGAACTGCATAACAAGCTTACAATTTTCCATTTGAATATAGAAAATTTCACATGATTTTCAGTTTTCTTTGTTATTGTACTTATAGTAGTAGATGTCTGTGTCGTCACTGATGCTGTCGATGTTGTTTTTGTTTTCGCTGTTATTGTTGTCCCATTTCCTACATGGGAAAGAGAAAATAAAGTAAATGTTAGCTGATCTCTACAACTTTAAGTTTAGGGTAAACTTTGTTTATGATCAGTTGCAACTCCACAAACAATGGGACATATTTACATTTGAATATGGTTTGGTTAAACAAATTTTAACAAAAAAAATTCCGAGTTTTCAAATCTGTGTGCATGCAATTTTTGATATGCTGGAGCAGTGGCGTGCACATGAACTTGGCACGAACTCGTGCACGCCACTGCTCCAGCTCAAAATACGCCGTAAAAGAAGTTAATTTTCTTCTTTGGTGTTTTACGGTGGATTGCATCCACTCTGTTGCACTACCGCCTCCTGGAGACTGAACCCCATGCCGACACTTCCTTAAAGGAAGTTTCACTGACGTGAAACATTAATCTGTCAATCTGCGTTGGATTACTCCATGGCTTTTGCAAGGACCTCAATGTGTGACGGGGAAAACCGAATTATGGAATTGAAATTGAATTATACAACTGAAAATAAGAATGGTCAAGCTGAATTTTCAATACAATCAAATACAGTTTCAAAGCAAATCAATTCAGTTTCAAATTAATGAAATTCATTCTCATACCAATGGATTTAATTTCAATTTATGCGACTACATATTCAGTCTGAGCAATTCAAATTCAGTTTCAGTTTCTGATGGCACAAGTTTCTGCCCATAGACAAACATGGTGAGGTAGAAAATAGATAAATGAAAATAACTTATGCTTTGTTTTTGAGAACAATCAAAATCTCCATTCAATCTTGTCCAAAGCAGTTTGTCGACAAATTTATTGCATTTTTTTATTTATTTTTTTTAAACGTTGCTGTTTGTTTACTCATTTGTTCCTCCATAAGTTTATCGACCAGTATCAGTGGTGACTACGGTAATTACAGTTTGCACCTATTTAGTTTCCTTCCATTTT